CTGAGCTAACATGGACAAGGCCATGGGGTTTGAGAAGCTGAGAATTTATAAGCCAAGTTCCCCACACCAGGGGGTACGTGGCAGCTGTCAGGCATGAGACAAGGCCACAGGCTAATTGCCAAGCATGTTGCTGGACCATTGGTATTATTTGACAGTCGGTAATTTAAAGGTTAATTTAATAGTCAACTTTATCATAGAGTAAAATGCAAATAACCCTACATTTAAAACATCTTCTTATTACTATTTTTTATAGAGTCAGGGTCTCACCATGTTGCCAAGACTGGTCTTAAACTCCTGGGCTCAGACAATCCTCCACTTCAGCCTCCCAGAGTGCTGGGATTACAGGTGTGAGCAACCACACCCGGCCCAAACACCGCATTTTAAAAACTAAAGCCTAAGCATTCATGGAAATACCCAGCGTAAAACAACAGCATCAAGTTACTGCCCTCATATGTGTCCCCAGGAACTTGGAGATGCTTCTAAGGAAATATATAAGAAGCTCCCCATAGCGGAGAGTTTGTCCTGAAGCCAGGCAGACACAGGTGTAAATGGGACAATAATTCTGTCCCACTCCTTAATTGTAAGACCTTAAATGAGTCACCTCTCCTCTCTAGCTGTCAGTTTCTTCGTTTATAAAAAGGATGAAGAATTTGGGTAACAGTTCTCATCTTGCCACGAGGAAATGATGAAACAAATTAGAAACAAGCTAGACATCCAGGCTGAAAGGGCAAAGCCCTCCTCTGCTGAAACAGATCCACATGGTGTTCCCTAGCCTGGCCCACACAGGTAATTAAGCTCCACAGGGTAGGAGTGTGCGTGTGTCTGCATGTGCCCTTGCATGCAAGTGTGCAGTCATGCACATGCATGTGTACTTTACCCAGGCACCCAGGACAAAAGCAAACATCTAGTAGCTACCCCATAAATGTTTGTTTAAAGCAAACACAGAGTGATGAACTGGTCTAATTGTTTACCCCTCTACACAACTATGAGATATTCACTACCCTGGACACTGCCTGGTTTGTGGCTGACCTATCCCCCAGCCTGCAACACACAAACAGATTCTCCCCAAGTGCTGAGTAAATGAATGATGGTGCAGTGCCCTGGACCTAGTGGGGACCGGGTGTAAGGGTCTCTCTACCCAGCGTCTCAGTGGAGACTGGGTGTAAGGGTCCCTCTACCCATCCTCCTAGTGGAGACTGAGGGTAACGGTCTCTCCACCTATTGTCTTGACCTTCCCTGGGAGAAAATAAGATTAAAACGGGAGACTTCGCGTGAGCAAGTTCAGAGGCGTGGAGGGCGGTGTGGCTCCGGGAAGGTTGATGGGTAGAGGTTAGGGGCAAGGGCAAGGGGTTGGACTTGCATTGGTCCCAGCGTTTTCATCAGGAGGATGAGCGGAGCACCCACCACAGAGGGTTATGGAGAAAGTTAATGAGATCATTAAGCTAAATGCTTAGCATATTCTAAGCCTCAATACAGTTAAAGGAGACTTCCTCGGTGATAAAGGTCTCTCTTTCTCCCCAGGAACCCAGGAATCCCGGTGGAAACCGTGCCCCCTCCGGAAGGGTCCGGGGCTGGGAGGCGCGCTTCTTGCTGGGCATGCTCAGTGCAGGGGCAGAGCTGAGGCGGGGGTGGCTGAAAGTTTTGAGCGGTGATCCAGGCTCCTCCCTCCGGCTCGGCGAAGCAGGGAAGGGGAGAGGAGTAGGAGTCGGGAGACTGCACAGGCCGGAAAGTCTGCGGGGCGCGCCGCGCCC